ACCCCCAAAAAGTTCGGTCTGGGAGGTCCCTCAATCCGGCACCAGTCAGAAGAGTCCCCTGAGACTGATGGCCTGGGAAGCCCTTATATTCACACTAGGCAGAGGAGGCCCCTGAGACTGATGGTATGAGAGGCCCTCATATTCACACCAGTCAGAAGAGGCCCCCGAGGCTGATGGCTGTAAGGCCCTTCTGCTCATATAACTGGCCACTGGAGGCCCCTGAAACCGGTGGTCTGGGAGGGCCCTCTATCCACACTAGTCAGAAGAGGCCCCTGAGACCGATGGTCTGAGAGGCTCTTATATTCATACCGGCCACAAGAGGCCCCTGAGACTGATAGTCAGAGAGGTCCATTCCTAATGAATCTGAGGGGGCCCTCTATCCACATTTACACTTTTCTAGGGAGGCCCCTGATGGTCTGAGAGGCCCTTTTTATTTATACTGTCCACAGGAGCCCCCTGAGGTTAATGGTCTGAGAGGCTCTTCTATTTATACTAACCAGAGGAGGCCCCTAGGATTGATGGTCTAACAGGCCCTTCTATTTATGCTAGCCAGAGGAGGCCCATGAAACTGATGGTCTGAGAGGCCCTTCTATTCAAACTAGGCAGATGAGGCCCCTGAGAATGAAGAGCCATGCGGCGGCAACTGGCCGTGGCCATATTTCGGCTCGATAGGGCCCCTCAGAGCTCATGAGAGCATCTCAAGGGCTCCTAAGTAGACACGCTTATCCCCATAAGGGTGCCACGCCGGCTTCTGAAGGCTCCATGTAGGCATCTAAGGGCCCTTTCCGGCCTCTAACGGCTCCACCCGCCTGTGATGGCTCCACACCAGTGTTTATGAGCGCCACACAGCGGCGCCTTTGAGGGTCATAGTAGTGTCTCTTAGGGCCCTATATCGGTGGCTCTGGGGGCCCCACACCGGCGCCTCTGTGGGCCACCACACCTGTGCATCTCAAGGCTCTATAGGTACATCTGAAGGACCCACACCGACACCTCTGAGGGCCCCACACCAGTATCTCGGAGCTCTGAAGGCCTCACACCGGTGACTCTGAGGACTCACCGGCTCCTGAGAGCACCATGTTGATGTCTAACGGCTCCACAAGGCCACTGAAGGCACCACACAAGCTCTCACTGAGCTCTAATGTCCATGTACCGGCCTCTGAGGGATTTAAGCCAGCGCATTCATAGCTCCACACCAGCAATTGTAAGGGCCTCACACTGAAGTATCTGAGGGTTCCACACCGGTGTCTCTAAGGGCCACATACCGGCATCTCTGAGGGCCCCATACCGGCGTCTCCGAGGGTCCACATCTGGCGGGCACCCATCAGCGACTGAAGGTCCCACACTGTCGACTCCGAGAGCCCCATCTGCGTCTGGGAGCACCATACCGTCTCTAAGAACCACAGCGGCTCCTCCGTACGAAAGATGGGCGTCTGCCGCCAAAGGGGAGCGGTTCTGAGACAGTAGGGCACCTACGTGCAATAGAGGGGCGCCTATGAAGCCCATAGGGGCGCCTCAATGCGAAAGAGGGGCGCCTCTGAGGCCTACATATATGGGCGTCCACATGCAAAAGAGGTCTGCAATGCAATTGATCAATGCCATGGGGGTGCATTCATAAGAAACAGGGGCGCCGGCATGGCAAAGAGAGGCGCCTTCAAGTGTCCATAAAAGAGAGACGCCAATGATAAGCGCACATTGTATGCGACAACGGGGCGACTGTGGGACATATAGGGATGTCTCTGATGACTATACATAGGGCGCTTGCCGCTTATATGCCAAATAGGGCGCCTATGAAGCTAATGGTGGCACCTGGGAAACGAAGAAGACATTTGTGTAAGGGTTTTCAGGGGTCATGCGCCGCTTGCGGCAAATAGATTCTAAAAAAAATCGGAGGGGGGGGGGAATAAGCTTTAAAAATGATGCGGACTTTCCGCACTGTTCGCTTAAGCGGTTACGCCCCTGGGTACATCTGCCCGATCTCAGAAGCTAGATTTGGAGGTCATACTTGAAAGCAGCCAGCAGGACGAGACAAAAGTTGGAGGCCCCTGAAAATAGGAGGCCCCTGGAAAAGGAGGCCCCTTGACAGGGTGGCCCACCCACTTTTCATGACGTTCCTACGCCCGTGTCCCAGCTAGTTAAGACTGCAGATCTTGTCTCCAACACTTTGCTAGGCGGAAGTAATTTGTCGAGTGTTCCGTACCAAACGAAGATGCACATATGCCATTCGCGCCGAGAAAGGACCCGACCAGAGCATGACAGTCCTTTGTCGCACTCTCCCCTCCGCTGTTCATGATTGATGCGGGTCAAGCATCATTATGCACTGCAGCAGAGATGACAGGGGGATCTGCTCATATGGAGACCACTAGCGTCACCCATCCAGGACGTGGCCTGGCTGCAGCAATAGATCAACAAGCCCATGGCGCCGGACTATTGACCACACAGCGGTCAATGCCAATGGCCGTCATAGAGCGCGGTGTAAAGGGAGGGGAGTCGGGGAGGACCCGCATCCACGGTCAGCCACTCTGTGCAAGTAAAGAGGCGAAGAATTACTGGCGGAAAACATTTTACGGCATCGGTCTTCTACGTTAATCAACGAGTAGGACCAATTTTTGACCGGCGGGGCGGCTAAAATATCAATTCAAATTGATGGGGTACTGGAGGAAGATCCTTTAACTATATGTTTTCCCGCTGTCCTCTACAGATCGCCCTTATACCACTAGCCAGGGCACTAAAGCCACTAGCATAGCATCGAACTCTCCCAAGCACCCACATAATCATCATGCGCCTCCTATAAAACATCCACGCAATCCTATCTACCTTTGAACCGGGCGATCGATACGATCCCACGCGCTGGGCGGGTCGCACTCACACGTTCCGATTTGACACCGTCCAATGCTCGGTACTCTGCAATCTGCATTGCACGGCGGCGTGCCTCCGTGCCTGTGCACGCACGGGCCGGGCATGACCGTACCGCTGGCCTCCATAGAGCCCCTAGTGAGTCTACAGTCTACATACGGTTGGAGTGTGGTTAGACCCGCAGCTCCTACGGAAAGTGCGCCGCAGAGATAGACGTGGGCCTCCTTGCTGACGTCTTCTCCGGCAGCTTTCTGACAACACGATAGATTGTGTGCAGATAGTTAGACGGGTGCCAGATAACAACATTGCAAGCACAATCACTTGGATTGCACAAACGAAACGTCAACAATTTATCGGCCAACGGAAGGTGCAAGTGGCACGGTGGTGCGAAGAAAATCGCAGTAGAGGTCCGCTAGCGAACGATATGCGACCTCTGCTGGCCCGAACGACCAACGATGTCTGCCACTCAGTCTATGCGTCTATCTCTTAGTCTCGTCTAAAGTCATCATTCCCGAGGTCACCGTTGCGTCTTCCTTCATTGTACCCCCGTGTATCGCTCTCATCGTATATAACCCCTTCAATTCTTCGGTCACTCTGGGTCGGTCAGTTTCTTCTGAGCCACTCCCACTTCATTTCAATAGGTGGAGAATTGTGCTGGACTGGGGGTGCTCGAGCTCTCCCAATTCGACGCCGGCTTGGCTTTGGAGCCGCAACAGACGGTAGAGGTCAAGGTCACTGCTAGGGCGGCGGTGGATTTGCTGCGCTCAAGCACCCCCCAGTTCGACACAATTCTCCCCTTTTGCCCATTTCTTCAGACTGAATATCTCCCATTTGCGCCTTTGGTCGTCTCCGTCGCTCTATGTCGCTCATCGTCCCCTTTGTCGCTCAGCTGCGTCTCCCAAACCTCACCATCTCTCTTCTGCGTCTCTTGGGCCCTATGGCACACCCCCGGTGTAAACCCACCACCCATCCAGCGGTAACGCTAATGTATTCCGGCCATCATCCTCTACCCCCAGCAGTGTGCTGCTCCAAGGACAGATGCCGAATCTGGCCACTGCAAATTCAAAACAAAGCCAGCAACGCTATGCCATACAAGACAAGCTAACCACGGGCCAATCACCCCAGTCTGCGACTCTGCATAGAGGTTTAACACATGCATAGCGCGCGGTGCCAGGCTCGTGCGAATGGCAGCTGTACGGCGGGGAGCGGCGGGTCAGCCGGGTTTGTTTGCTGCCACTTGTGCCTTATCAGGCGAGCGTGGGCACCATTGAGACTGATGCTCAGTGCTCACCCACAGACGAGAGTCGGCCAGAGACGGCGAACGGTGGCAGATGGAATGTCGGATAACGAACAGAGCTACTCGACCGGCGGGGAATTCGACATTGGCGGAGATACTGGGCGAATTACGTAATGCTAACGTAAGGAGCCACTACAATACATTGGTACTAGCACATTGTTTGTTTGCTAGATGCAAATTACAGGATACCGTATTGACTGTTAAACATATACCTAGCTGACACGATCCTTTTCTGCAAGGCTCACAAAAGAAATAGCAAAGCAGCTTTGTACTTTGTGAACGTCCACTGTAACCGTCTTATCTGATCGGCTACAGAAGCTACTGCATTTAAATACCCATTGTTTCCTGATAGATGTAGTTTGCAGTCATGTAGATAAACTATGCCGCATGCTCGATCAATTTGAACAAAAATGCAAAGTGCGTTTGAACGGGATATAATGCGTACGTTCGCCGTTGAGACAATCCCAAATTGAGTGTATGGAGAACTTGCGAAATATATCAGCGCCATGGCCGATGGTGGCTTACTTAATGCTAAGCCGTGCTCCTCTTCTCGCGCAACACATATCAAATGACCAGCCAGAGGATCCACCAGAGCCATAATATCCTCGGGAGTCGGGACGGCCGCCGTTCCGTAACTGATCTGACATTGGCGGGTCGCTCAGGACACGCGCCGCGCACCGCCGGATGGCCTGGGCCGCTCCAAAACACCCTCACCGGCACCCCTCCATCACAGTCGGCCCCCGCGGCGACCCATTCATTCCTTACGCAACCGGGGCCGGGTCAGCGGGGACGTCAACACGGCGTGACACGGACGGGGTCGGCAGGTCACCGAGCCGCCCGCTGAACTGACCTGTATCAACGTCTGCTGCAGCTTCTGAAAGGCCGACGAGTAGGACGCCGGCGGGAACTGGCCTTTACCGCCGGGCTTCTTGTGACTGGCGGCTGGCGCCGGTGTGGGAGCCTTCTCAGCAGCCGACATGACTTGCCAGCAGGAGTTTTGGATGATCGTACGGCGAGCCGAGTTCAGACCACATTCACTGTCAGATCCAGCCACGCGGTCCTCGACTCACGGCACGCGCCGACACACTGCACCTGCCACGTCCTCGTTCCACCCACGACCATTCCCAGTAAATGCACGGGAGCCACTGGGCCGCCGTCACTCCGACGATACGGCGCCGCCCGCCCATCGAACCGAGGCCAGCGCAGCGACCGGCCGACGCGCCCGACATCTGCCGGCAAAAGAATGTACTGAAGGTTACTAGAATACGGGAACAGGTGGCACGACATTCCACAGTTCTCTATATACCGTGTGAGGAACGAGAATCATGGAGCGGGAACTGAGTTCGTCGACTGAAAGGACATGGGTTTGTCCTGTGCCAGAGTCCTTTGACACATACTGGTCACCAAGTCCTTAGCCTTTTGTTCGCAAAAAAATGCCCTTTGGCAATAGGCATTTCCGGCCTGAGATCGGAGAAAAATCAGGCAGCGTCGCGCATCTACTTGACTCCAACTCTGGTCTCTGACCAAATAATTATCACCCTCAGGCCTCAACCATTCTCTCCCAAGGATCTACCTCAATCATTCTCATCATCCTGAACACCTTTTGACCTTACCGGCACAAGTCAAAGTCCGGAGACGTCCCAACTCCCAAATCCCATCCCATGGCGGACAATCACCCATTTTATCATCGTTCATTACGATTCTTAGCACTTCCTGAGCACTTCAGAAGTTCAAAATGACGAATGATGAGCACCAAGTGATGGAATAACATGAAATAATCGAAATAATTTCCCAACTTCAAAATTCAAAACCACCGCATCTCATTCAACTTTCAGAAACGTCGCGAGGAATGACCTTGAAATTGATATAGTGGAAGTTGAAAGCTTTTTAAGTCATTTTATATTTCAATTTTGATGTTGAGTTAATATAAAACAGGAAATAAGGTGCAAAATAATTCTAGTAATTTTCACATTTAAATATTTTTGTAGTGCACACAATATAAAAGATAAAAATCTTGATTCTTATATTTCTGCTACCGAGCAAAGTAAACAAAACTTGAAACAAGCCACGCTTTTGCTTTTTTGTGTTGTGCTGTTAACGATAATTTATTTTGTATTTTTTCAATACAATTAGTGTTCCGCTGTTGTTACCGCTTGGAAATATTCTCACAAAACACTACGAACATAGTGAGGTGATCAAAACCTTTTCTATTTGTGCATGCTTGCGATACGGACGGGCGTTTTTTGGCGTGCGTGCGATGCGGGCGGTTTTTTTTTGCGGAGTTTTTTTTTATTTTTTCTGCGGTTTTCGGCGGGCGGGCGATTTTTTTGCGGCATTTGCGTTTGCGTTTTGGCGTCCGTTTTGCGCGTTTTGCGGTGTTTGCGTTTTGCGGCGGGCGGGCGGTCTTTCACAATTAAAGTCCCAACCTTCGGATCCGCAGTGCTGTTCGATAAGCGCTGCCCGGGCCTATTTGTGCATGCTTGCGATAGTACTAGGGGGGGGGGGGGGGTCGTACGTAACCCCCCTCGGTTTTTCGCCGATAACTCGCGTAAAAAGCGGCCGATAGCGACGACACTTTCAGTACCCTCGAGTTGATCAATTTTACACCTACCCTGAAAATTTTATGACCCTGACCCAAATGACCTTTGACCTGTGACCTACTTTTCGAGACCATGTTTGGCCGGAAACGGAATCGCAATTCGGATTTCGGCGTATGTCGGCTCTCATTAGCCGCGCGTTTGCAGTCTTTTCGTGGTTTCAAGCGTTCAAACATGTGAAATGGTGTTGGTCCCATGCATTAGGGTGGGTGTCAAGGTCACCTGAAGGTCAGGTCAGGTCATTGACCTATGACGACCTCGGTTCACTTTTTCGAGTTTTACATGTTTCTAGGCCAGTTTTTTTTTTTTTTGCTGGCTGAATTCGAATTTAGCAACCATATGAACATTTACAAAGTAGTTTTGGCGCCTTCGTAACATGGTACGAAGTTGTCAGAGGCGGTTGACACCTACCACGAATACCCGGCAGGACCCCTACTGTTTGACCTGACCCGACCTGGCCTAAATGCATTAAGACATCATCTGTGATCAAAACTACCATGATATTCGTGATCAGCAGTAGCACCCCGAAAAGCATCACAGCAGCCACACTTTACGACGTTCTAACAGGTCCCGATTTTCCCGACTTTTGGGTCATTGACCTGACCTGGAAGGTTAACCAATGACCTAGGACCTTAAATTTGGGTATCATCGGCTTCCTCTCGTCACGGGTAACACGCTCGTTTTTTCCGCGAAGCTCTAGCTCGGTCAGGGGCGAAACGGCAAGGGTTAAAATTTATACATTTACGTCTGGAAAAACACCAATACGGGCGAGGGTTAAAATGCCAAAAAAAAACGAGCTTTACGTTGGCGGCTGTGAATTCACAGCCGCCAACGTAAAGCCGTTTCAGTTTAGGTATGCCGCAAGGCAATCTATAGATGGCGTCAGGGGGACCGTCTGTTTTGTCATGTTCTGCCTGGGTACCACGATTTACCGTCCTCCCTCGTCAGCATCCATGATCCAGCTGTGTAATGTGTTCCTAGTTGGCTGTGATGTCTGCATTCACTTACCTCAATGTATCGTGACCAATCTCAGGGAACAGGTGCGCTGAGTGCGCCGCCTCCATTTCAGCACTCAGAGTCAGACGTCGTGGTTGCAAAACTCTAGTCTCTCTTTGCACAAACAATGGCTAAATACTCTGGATTCAAACCGTGCGTCGGCACCGACTCCTCGGCAGTGCGGTGTGATTGCCAGCGATACCGTCTATTGACGACTGTCGGGCGTTGGGGAGGAAATGGAGGGCGGATACCGACAATTCAGGGACTCCAAGCAGAGCAGAGTCAATTCGCGGACATCACTCGTCAGCAGAGGTAATAAAATCATCAGGAGTTATTAAACGCAAAATAGGTCTCTTTTATGAACCCGCGCCTCGCTGGAGCTCACGTAGGTATATAGTATATACTGCTTTGGATGGGAACTGACCCATATTACTCGGCTACTGAGTCAGGCATAACGACAGATTTGGAAACTTATCAACTCGGGTCTCAATTTAGTCGATCAGGTTTTCTTTCAAAACCAAACCAAGACTCATGAACGTTCTAACGTCATTGCGCAATACTGAGCATGAAGTTTTTTTTTCAAATGCCGTCCTGTGAAACGCAAGATAAGCATGATCCCATAGCACTTCTGCATTGAGATAATGTTTGGCGCATACAGTCTACGGACAGCCATTCATTGCGACACTTATCCCCCGACGCCAGATGCTAGCAAATAACGGGCCTGTATAGGGCCTTGGGTGGCGGTGGTTCGAAAATCTTATCGCACTGTTCGTGGTCGTGCTTGCTGTAGTTGCCTTTGCGTCTTGCGATCGCTCTCGGGCTTTATACACTCGGTCTGGTTGGAGTGCCTTGCACCTCTCCGGCGATGATGAATACCACTTCATCGTACCATGCATGCTCTTTTTAATCTACACAAATATTTGGTATGCTTAGTTAGCACAAGCATATGCTTTTTGCATGTCAGTCTGTTAAAGTTTTGCGCTGTTGCAGTTCAAAGGTTCTCGCCGCTGTGCAGGTGTTGCATGGCTTTTGTGACCTCAGGGGGCTGGAAAACCAGGATTGGCGCACGCTGCGGTCTCGGTGACGTGGTGGCACGTGCTCAACACACCCTTAAGTGGTTTCAACCAAATCTGCTTACTAGAGATCAGAGCGCTATTGCATAAACATAAGATTTACGCCACCGGAGTAGATCTTAACTTTTTTACGAAACGGCCATACTCTACGAAACACCGTATAACCTGTTGCATAAAGGCCGTGACCTACTTCGTAAATATTTGGAAAATCTAGGTATGACGTCATACATGAATGAAAATAGTGCCGGATCTCAGCACGAAATGCAGAAGAATGGTGACAATAATGAAAGCGATTAAAGTTCCAGTGTACTGAAATGTGTGAATCACGTTGTCTGGATAAGTGGTTCAAATCACCTTGAATTGATAGCGACTTTAGAAAACCTTTCGTACTTTTCAATATTCATGCGCCCTTCCACATCAAGCGGCGGTCGGCTTGGTAAACAACATCGATCGTGGCATCTTGGGAGTGTGGGATATTCTAAGATCATAGATAATTTGCCCTCACTATGGGTTTCAGTCGATATTCTACATAAATTTGCATAGAACTGAGTGCACTGTATCCGTCTAGAGCAGTGCCGTAGCTGCTACTGCCACCTTTCGCCAATTAAGTAAGCTGAGATTTGTACACTCGCCGTCCGGTGGTTGCTAGGTAGGACACGAAAGTAAACAACATTCCAAAGAAGAATTTCAAGACAAGTGTCCAGCTTGGCTTGCAAGATTGAACAAGATCATCATTTGGTGGCTGAAAATGAAGAATTAAGATAACCAGGGCCCAGACTAACAAGTAAGTTTTCTATCATAGCGAATGGTTAGTGAACAATTGTCGGTTCATTGGCAGCACACTGCTCACTGCTCAGCCCTTTCAGAACAATCGTGAGCTTTTTCAATAGTTAATGGTTAAAGCTAATGCCGCTACAATTCCTGATCTATATTTTCTTTTGGTGTATTTTGAATTTGGCATCGTGTTTATTATCCTCAGCCCTCAATTACTCGCAACATTCCAATGCTCTGTCTTTTCTTCACCATTATTTACAATTAGGTATGTTGAAATGCCATATCATATTGATATGGTGTCAGGTGTCTTATCATTAAAATCATTTAAATATCCACAAAATTACGTTTAATTATATATTTGCAAGCAACATGCTTTCGCGCGTTGAATTAGTAGGCACAAAACATAATGCATTTAAGCTAGGTATTACAAGATGAATGCCTACCTATTCGTCTGTGGGCTTGCGTGATATTTTTTCAGTTTCAAACGTAAGCATTAAGGGCATATCAGCATAGCATCTAGATACCTACTGGACTATTCTGAATCTGCCAGTGAATTGCTGATTACTTTCAATTCACAGGCTTTAATTAAATGACATGGCTGATTAAATTTAATTAAATGGCACTGGCTAAAATTGGCTAATTAAATTTAATTAAATGCACTGGCTAAAATTGGCTTTAAAAAGTCAACTTTACCAGTATAGCAGGGCACAGTCACAGACCTTTATGCTTGCATTCAAAGAAGGCTGAGAGCGAGGAGATACATGGTGTCATAAAAAGTATATTATTCGCTCGATTTACTTTTTCCGCCCCTGTCTATATGTATCGCCTCTTTCCTGATTCCCTCAGTCCTCTCTCCTATTTCATGCTCTGTCAGCCACTTTGCCTTCGAAAATGATCTCCTCTCAATCCATTCGTTCTAGTCTTTCTGATACTTACCGACATCTTTATTTCTGTTTCAGGAATTTCTATCCGAGTTCGTGGAGGAGTCTTCTGACCACGGCATTCGGCTGTTCTACATGAAGGTTGAAGAATCCCGCTGGGTTCAGCCGACAGAGGGCTCTGATAAATCGCCGATAGATGGCGGCTGCTACGCCAAGAGTCACTACCTTCGTTGAAATCGTCCTATCAGCAGCGTCTTATCCCGGTGTTGGCGCACTCGGGAAAAGTGAGGCTGTGCAAGCTCAGCATCATTTGTTCCCTTTTTTAAAGCGCTCTTCGTGTTACGATTACAGTGACATGTCAAGTTTACGTGGGTCTCTAGCTCAACTTGAATCGCGGCTGTATTGGTGCACAGACGTTCTCTGAATACGTATGGTACATACGTGCTAGAATCTGAGGCGAGTGTATTTGGATGTTCACTAAAATCGTCAACGGAATGTGGGAACCAGAAATAAACATCGACACGGCTGATATGTTTGATGACTAATGCGTCTGCAGTTCCTCAAACGAGCTACGAGCGTGGTCTAACGTCAGTCACCACCGTTGTAGTACAATTGTCGGGTACGACTATGCTTATATCATGCTATCGCATTGGTTGAGAAATGAGAGGTGCGGTTGCAGTCTTTCTATAAATTGTTCGAGGATAAGAAAGCATCAGTGTGTTAAGGAGTTACCGTCATATGCATTCATAACTGTATAAGGACTAAAAAAGTTGGAATTCGGCGTCAAACAGCTGCAATAGCCGACTTTCGGCTAAAATCTAAGAAGCCCACCCCCTCCGTAGAATATTTTACGATTTTTACACACTTGGCACATCTGCGACATTTTCTGCGCGTTTCGGCGAACTACTTTTTCTTAAATCTTAACTTATATGCAACAGAAACCCCCAAAAGTTACGTCACGTGCTGGAGTAAATTCCTTGCTCTCCGTACTATTTTCAAGACCTTTGTGAAACAGATTGGCGTAGAATAAGTACGATTCTAAGACAATTCGTAAAATATCCGGTGTCGTAAGTTTTATGCAATAGCGCTCAGCGCGCAAATTTTATAGCTTAGCTCTCACCTAGTAGTTCCTTCGCAGAAATAAAACGAAACATCCTATTATGTTTGTTTGATAATTTCCGACGTGAGTGAAGTGCCTTTATTTTTATAAGAGGGAAAAGATCTTGTAGAAGGATGTAATTGTAAACCTCCAATCTACATTATTACGGAGCGAGCGAAGCGAGCGGAGTCTTTACGGAGCGAGCGAAGCGAGCGTAGTCTTTCCTTAGATTAACGGAAATTTCTGAGTATGAGCGGCCGGCCGGCCGGCCGGCCGGCCGTGGTCACGCTTTTGCGAGGCTTATATCTCAGCAACCACTTGACCGATTTACATGCGGTAATTTTTGTAGGGTAGCTTCATTCCTTCTACCAAGTATTGCACTATTCCCGATGCATGTGGGTGACCCCTTATGCACGTGCCACGTGCAAAACCAAGAGGTGTCACTTTTGTAATTGTTGCAATATCTCGGTAACTACTGCTGGGCCGATTGCGCTGAGAGTTGGAATGTAGGTAGGCAGTTAGGCACCCACTAGGCAATGCATATCCATGTGCCAGAGTTGGGGTGCTGCTGCACGTGCGCACGTGCAGGGGTCGTTTCCAGATCTCGAGAGATCTCGATTGCGCTCAAATTTGGTACACGGTTACGGAGCAGTTAGTAGGGTGCCGTGCACAAGTCAGTTGGGACCCATTCTGCACGTGCGCACGTGCAGGGTGCCGCTTCCAGATCTCGAGAACGGCTGGGCCGATTGTGCTCAAATTTGGCACATCGCTAGAGACCGGTTAGTAAGGTGCCGTGCACAAGTCAGTTGGAGGAACCCCCTCGCAATTTCGCACGTGCAAGGCCCACCCTCTCGCTCGCTCCGTTAGTCGCCACAAAGGCGTTATACTGGTACGTAGAATAACGGAAATTTCTGAGTATGAGCGGCCGGCCGTGGTCACGATTCTGCGACGCTTATATCTCAGCAACCACTTGACCGATTTACATGCGGTAATTTTTGTAGGGTAGCTTCATTCCTTCTACCAAGTATTGGACTATTCCCGATGCATGTGGGTGACCCCTTATGCACGTGCCACGTGCAAAACGAAGAGGTGTCAGTTTTGTAATTGTTGCAATATCTCGGTAACTACTGGGCCGATTGCGCTGAAAGTTGGCATGTAGGTAGGCACCCGCTAGGCAATGCATATCCATGTGCCAGAGTTGGGGTGCTGCTGCACGTGCGCACGTGCAGGGGTCGTTTCCAGATCTCGAGAACGGCTGGACCGATTGCGCTCAAATTTGGTACACGGTTAGGGACCAGTTAGTAGGGTGCCGTGCACAAGTCAGTTGGGACCCATTTTGCACGTGCGCACGTGCAGGGTGCCGCTTCCAGATCTCGAGAACGGCTGGGCCAATTGTGCTCAAATTTGGCACATCGCTAGAGACCGGTTAGTAGGGTGCCGTGCACAAGTCAGTTGGAGGTACCCCCTCGAAAGTTCGCACGTGCAAGGCCCACCCTCTCGCTCGCTCCGTTAGTCGCCCCAAAAGGCGTTATACTGGTAATACTTTAAAACGCACAATTCTTACTACGGCGTAATCTAAATCCATTGAATAACGTAAATTTACGTTATTGAATGGATCGGGGCATTAATGCCCCGATCACCGACAGTCTACACAAGAGTGAATAATGAGCACGTATCTGGTCAATCAAAATATACAAGCCTCCTTGTTTTGTTTTTGAAAATGTTCCTCATGAGGATCTGGACGCTTGTTTATACCGTGTTATTTTGTTGCAGTTTGGTTCATTGTCAACGACCGATCCCACGTTCCCGCTCCGACCGCTGCCGCTGAGTAGAAAGCCCGCGGTCTGGTGAGACGGCGGAGGACACCGCCGGCTGGGAGCATGTTCCACCAGCAGCGCTGTGAGCGGCCCATGGCTGCCTACAACAAGGCGCTGGAGCACCGCGACCAGGGCGACAGTCTGCGCTGTCAGCTGACCGCCGAGGCTGACAAGATCCTCAAATGGAAGGTGTCGGCGGAGATCAGTCGGCAGCAGCAGCTGACACAGCTGCGCGAGGCCCAGGAACAGCACCAGGCGCAGGAGGAGCGGCTGCGGCGGCTGCAGGAGGCGCACGGCGCCGCGCTGGCTGCGCTCCGCCAGCAGCAGCAGCGCAGCGGAGACGTGGCTGATCAGCTGCAGGCCACGCGCGCTGTGGGTGCCGTCATCCAGCAGCAGGCGACTCGGCTGCGCGCCGCGCTCGACCAGTGCGAGGCGGACACGGCACGGCTGCAGGCTGACCGCCAGACGCAGACGCAGCGGCTGGACCAGTTGCAGCAGCAGTTCAGCGAGCTGACAGTGCGCCACCAGCAGACGGTCGGCCAGCTGCGCGACGAGGCCGTCGACGCTGAGCGCGTGCGAAAACAACGCGAGCAGGAGTGGGCCGCGGAGCGCGAGCGGAATTCTGCGGCGCTGCAGCGGCTCGAGGAAGAACTGTCGGCGAGTGCCGCCGACGCCGAGCGACTGCGGGTCGAACAGGCGAAACTTACGTCAGCCATCGATACGCTGGAGCGGGAAAAACTGCTGATAGGAGAGGAAATGCACCGCACGGAACTTGAACTTCAGCAACGCAACGACGAGCTGGAAACACTTACTGACGACCTGGCTCAGAGCCGTGCCGAAATGGAGACCGCTTCTGCCGAGCTGGAGCACACTCAGTCGGAGCTGGCCAAGGCCCAGGAGCAGCTAGATGAAGCTGCTAAAGAGAAAGCCTCACTGGAGGGCGGCCTACAGCAAAGTCGGGAGGAGACTGCCAAACTGGAAGCGTCCCTGACTGAAGTGACCAAAGAGCGGACAGATTTGAATACTCGCCTGGAAGAGGAAACAGTCACCCGTGCTCGGACAGAGTCTGAACGAGAGGCGATTCGTGAGGAGCACAGGGCGACAGAGGAGGCGCTGAACGCCGCCCGTGAGCGAGTGGCCGCCCTCACAGAGAGCCTGGCCAACGCGGAGGCCGAGCAGGCGCGGCTGAGGGAGGAGATGGGCTCAGCCGCCGGCCACCACGAGTTCCACGCCGCGGCGCTCCAGCAGAGCGTCGCAGACCTCAAGGACGAGCTGGGCAGAACGCAGGCAGAGGTTGTTCGGCAGAAGTCTGAGCTGGAGGCGGCTGCAGAGGTCGCCGCAGCGCTGAATCGTACCGTCTCGGAACTGAAAGAGGAACTGAAACAGCGCGATACCGAGCTGGATACGAGCCGACGTGAGCTGGAGACGACCCGCGGTACCATGGTGGAAGAGCACCAGTCGCACGCTCAGGCGCTGCAGGAGCGTGATGAGGCGCTAAAAGAGGCGGCCGCCGCTCGGGCTGAGCTCGAGACCCAGTGCGACGAGCTGCGGCGGCAGCTGGAGGAAGCGGTCGGCCGGGCCGCCGAGCTCGAGACGGCCCGTGACGAGCTGACTGAGCGGCTCGGCGCTGAACAAGAAGCCGGCCGGCAGGCGGCGGTCGAGGCCGAGCGGGAGAACGCCCGCGTCACCGCACACGCCGAGCACCGCATACAGGAGATGACGGCGCTACTCGACCAGTACAAACAGGACACCGAGAGCCACGTCAGCCAGGCGCGCCAGGAGACCAGCGAGGTCACCGCTCAGCTGCACGAGGCGCAGGCCGAGGCCAAGCGGCTGCGGACGGCGCTGGAGCGCGTCAACCGCCGCCACCCCGGCCCGCCCGTCTCGGAGAACGACGACTCGTCAACTCAGCCCACAACGCCCAAGTCCACCGTGCCGACCACGCCTCGAATGAAGACGCCCAGTACGCCCAAGACGCCCGTACAGCAGGTGCTGCGGCCGGAGCAGACGGACAACATGCCGTCCCGCAGCATCCTGCGCGCGCCGCACTCACCCTGGGTCAGGAAGCGGCGCGTGGTCTTCAACGAGGAGGACGAGGTGCGCTCCCTGGCCAGCTCCATGTCCGAGTCGTTCGCCGTCACTGACGAGTTTCTGGAGACCAAGTTCGCCCGTATGCAGTCGGGACGACAGCCGGCCGGCGAACGGGCCAAGCCGGGCGGGCCGCCGGCCGTGTCGGCCGTGGCACCGCTGCCCAGGACGACGCCACACAAGGTCGATCGGGCGGCCCGCGCCGCCGAGATCCGCCAGGCGACCTGGAGCAGGGAGGGCGCCCCGCCGCCGGTCAAGATCCAAAAGGGAAAGAAGTTCTTCCGGAAGCTGCACAACCCAGACGCTCAAAACGCACAGAGCGTGGCTTTCGACTCAGTGTTTGACTTCAGCTGAGCTGTGACTGTGGTGTATGTTGATCGGTTCATGGTGAGTTGTTACGACGGCACCCCAGATGCGAATTATGTTGACAGTTGATTTTCCAGTTGCATTGTTCAAGTCGCGTTGTTGAGATTTGGAATGGGCTGGCCGTTTGGAGAATCACTCGCAGTGCTATCGTTTGTTCGGTTGTTGAGATTTGAGCGCGGCGCCTTGCGATGTGCGTTTAAACACGCCGACTGAGACGGGCTGCCGCCTTTGTCCTCTCCCGTGGTTTACAACCCTGAGTGCCAACATTAATAAACACATAATAGCATGTCAGTAGGTCACTGCACTGTGAGCCCGGATCGGTCGTGTTTATTCCCCGGAAGCTAATTTTACCAGCAGAGAAGGTTTCACACCACCCGATAACTAGTTAATTCAACAGCGCTCGAGAGCCATCAATTACCACACAACAGCGTTTTTAAAGTCAGCTTCTGACGGCACTGAACCCCAGCTGAAGCCCAGCGGTCTGTCGATAGGCCGTTCACAGCGTCACAGCACAGAGACTATGAACATTGTATTCGTCTTTCCATCAGTCAACTCCCGTTGATCTTAGCCCAGGTTCTGATCGAAAAGTTCCAAAACAAAGTTCAAGCGCTTCGTTGTTTATGCAACAAAACATGACCTTAGGTTAAGAAAACTTCAAACACAGGAAAGGTTAGTTGAATCTTAAATACAAAGTCACTTCTTATCTTCCAGTAACGAGTCACGCTGTAGTAAGGAAACGTCAAATTGATACATAAATACAGTTAGTACCTATAACAGACGAGCTCACCGCCAGCACCAATCCCGGTTTGCAGTTTGCGGGAACCATAATCGCACCCACCTCGCCAACAGAGTCCACATGACCGGGAGAGAACATTGCCAAGGCCCGCACGCGGCTGGCTGGGTCCGCATAAAGCCTCACGGCCGGAAGCCGGTGTCATACTACGAGGAAACGAACTCGTAGGAAAGAAGCGTAGGTGCTGTACAGGAATCGCACTATACAATAAAGGAAGGGGCGTAACTGAACATAATTCTCTCAAGCCTGCTGCCACACCTCGAACCACAAGCCAACCTCGCTACAAAGTACAAACTCCCGCCGCGTACTGAGAGGGACTCGCGAAATAGCCCGCGACATTGTTAACGCAGCATGCAGTACAATAGCGCAGCTCCCGCCGCCCCGCCTACATTTGATAACAGCTACTCGAATTGCATTAGCTACTAGCCACTGGCGCCTCTGTCGCTGTCGGTAAGGGTGCCGCTGGAGGCGGTTCGGCTACAGGGGGTTCTGAGACGGGAGAGCTCTGGGGTACGGGGGAAGCTGACGACGGGACGGCGGGGGCTGGAGACGGCTCCTCTGCCGCCGGGGAAGGGGCCGGTGCCGCCGGGGCGGGGGCTGGTGCCGCCTCTGGGGCGGGAGCAGAGGCCGGTGCCGCCGGGGCGGGGGAAGGGACCGTCTCCGCTGGGATGGGGGCAGGGGCTGGCGCCGCCTCTGGGACGGGGGAAGGGGCCGCTGCCGCCTCCGCCACTGATGTGTCGGGTGTCGGTGATGCGCTCTTCTCTGCCACTGCTGGCGCCGGTGAGACGGACGCCTCGGAGAGCACTGTCTGGCGGTCGCCGGCGGGCGGCGCGGCGGCCGAAGGCACTTGTGAAGGAGCCGGCTCCGCGTCTGCCGCCGCCGGGGAGGCGGCGGCCTCCGCTGCAGCCGGTGACGGAGCGGCGGCCGGTACCGCTGGAGCTGGGGCGGGATCCACGGCGGCGGGCTCGCGCACGGGAGCGGCTGGGACAGCTGGGGGCGCCCCGTCCCCCACGGGACCCTCTCCCGCCGCAGCCTCTGGCCGCTCCCCACCGTCTGATTCCGGCGGTGCGTCCCTGAGAGGTGCCGACGGCCCGCTCTCGGGCGAGGCCAGTTCGCCGTCTGAGCCAACTGAGCCCTCCGGCGGACGCAGGATCGGTATGGCCGCCTTGGGTCGCTTCTGGAGCGGCTGGGCGGGCGGCGGCACCTGCGCCTGGGTGTTGTAGTAAGTCACCCCGCCGCTCTCCACCACCGGCAGCTGCGGAACAGACGGGGAGGGAAGGTATTAGACGATGTGCTGGAACAGAGCCAGTGCTTACGAAACAGGAAAAGAAACTGGAACTGGAACCAGCCAGCACCAAAGGTGGTACTGTTCTCGAACGTGACGAGCTTAATGACAAAACTTATCGACCATTGAGACCTTCATCACCTCTACTGAGTTACTTATTCACATGAAAATATCAAAACTAACTCAAAATACACCTAAGTAAATATCCAAAAAGTCCCCACCGCTCATCTTTCTTAGGTAAAGTAATCACCTAAAATACCACCTTCCCCGATATCCCGTTCCTTGTCCCACTCACCATCATATCTGGCGGCGGCTGGACGGGCGGGCCGGCCGGCGCCGGCGGCGGCGGGAACCCGGCGAACGGCGGCGGGGCCGGCGGACCCTGCGGCGCCGGCGGGAACCCGGCCGCGTACGGCGGCGGCGTCTGCGCCGCGCCGGCCGCGTACAGACCCGGAGTCACAAACGGTGCCGGCGGCATGGGCGGGGGCGTGGAGTGGTCGCCGGCGTACAGCGGCGGCCGGCCGGGCGGCGGCGGCGGCGGCGCGGCGCCGTACCCGGCCGCCGCCGGCTCGTCCTCGTAGTACGACTGACCGTGCTCCTGGTAGGCGGGCGGCTGCTCCTGGTAGGCCGCCTGCTGGGGCGACCGCTCCGGATAGCCGGCCGGCTGGTCCGAGTACCCGGTCTGACCGTGCTGACGCTGACGCTGAGATGAGTAGCGCTTCGGGCGAGACATCTGCTCCTGCAGGCGCGGCGGCACCTGACTGGTGCGCGTACCGCCGCCCCCACCACCGCCGCCACCTGAGGGGAAGTGGCAATTTGAAATGATCCACTATCACAATGCATAATCTATCAACACACTTGGCAGCATAGCAAACCATCGTATATCCCTCCCATTTCAAACCTTAACTCCAGACACCACCCGTTCCGTCGTACCTATCCTCGAGATACTGAAACCCTTCTCCTCCACGCCGCAACCCTCGCTCCAGGTTAGACAGGCAACTTTATCCCACGCGGGCTGCTCCCTAGGAGCGGCACGCTCCTCCCGAGGGAGCGCACCCGTAGCCGGGTGCAGAGAGTACCTTGGGGCTGGGTGGCCTGTCCTCTGGACGGGCTCAGCCCCGGCGACTCACTAGGGTGCCTGCCCAGACCAACGTCAGTCCTCCCAATTCCAATCAGCCTTCCGGCTCTGAAATGGTCTCGTTGGCCGGAAAGGGCCTAACCCAACAAAATAACAAAATCCAGAGACCCAGAGCAATGATCAATCCACATCAGCTGTAATTATTCGGTTCTATGTATCCGTATCCATCAGCCGACAGCTGACTCACCTCGTCCCCGACGGCTCTCCTGACCCTCGATAGTCATCTTCTTCACGCCCCTGCTGAGCTCCTGCTCGTCATGAGCGGCCATTCTGGGCGGGGCGTAGTCTCCCGCTCCACCACCGCCGCCGCGGGGTCCGCCGCGGCCGGGTGCCGGCGCCGCCCTGCCCCTGGCGCGGCCGCGCGCCGGCGGCGCCTCCCTCCTGCGGCCGTCCTCTGCCGGCGGGCCGGGCCGGCGCGGTTCGGCCAGCTCCACGGGCTCGCGGCGCGCCGGCGGCTCGCGGTGTGGCGGCGGCTGCCGGGGCCGCGGCGGCTCGTCCGAGTGCTCGCGGCGCGGCGGCGGACCGTCCCCGCCGGAGCCGCGTCGCGGAGGTGCATCACCCAGCTCAGGGAATTCGTCCTTGGAGGCGGTCGGCGGCGGCCGGTGAGGGCCGGAGCCGCCGCCCCGCCGACCGCCGCGGCCCACCCGTCCGCCCCTGCCGCCGCCGCCGGACTTGCCGTAGGCCTCCTCGTCTTCCCAGTTGCGTGTGTATTTGTTGGGACCGCGCCTGGAAACATGGATAGAAGTTTCATGAACTAATTTGGCCATATCCAGTGCCAGGATATGTCCAGAACACAAGCTTATAACCAATAGAGCACAACAATGAACGGAAAAATTAAACGGTGCCATGCGTTGTAACAATCGAAATAACGGCCTACTTTTGCGAACAAGTCGATCTTATCACTTATCAGCTATCACCTGAAGAACCCAATACGAAACACACAACACCTTGGTCATAATAGCAACAAGAGCAATGAACGGCAACAAACCCTCACAAGCACAAAGTATCATTTCCACTCATCCTTCTTCCCACACATAACAGTTCGTAATGCCATTTGAGCCCCAGCTCACTCACCCGTATCGTCGGCGGCGGCGGGCGCGCGGCGCCAGGTCCTCGCTGCGGATATCGTATCCGTACATGGTGACCAGCTCCTCGTGCGACTTGGGCGCCTGCTGGCTCTCGTCAAACTTGTCGTGCTGCCACCGGTCCGCCTCCTTCCAGACACGGCGCGTCGGCTTCGGCTCCGGAACCTTGCGGTCGCCGCTGGAGGGACGGTAAAAGGGTTCAAGGTGATTAAGAAGGAAGTTAAAGGCTAGCCTGTGCGATTGATGCGAGCATGCTTCCATGCATTTGAATAGGCTCTCGCATGCGATTTCCTGACTGTGGAAAGAGTCTGTTTCAGGCTTAACCCTCGCCGGCACAGGGGGAGGAGTTGATGCAACCCCCCCCCCTAAGTTTTTTTGCGAATAACTCGCGTAAAAAGCGGCCGATCGCGACGAAACTTTCAGTACCCTCGCATTGATCAATTTTACACCTACCCTGAAAATTTCATGACCCTGACCCCAATGACCTTTGACCTGTGACCTCTTTTCTGTGACCATGTTTGGCCGAAATCGCGGTTCGGCGCATGTCGGCTCGCATTAGCCGCGCGTAAGCAAGCTTTTCGTGGTTTCAAACGTTCAAACATGTGATTTGATGTTGCTCCCATGCATTAGGGTGGGTGTCAAGGTCACCTGAAGGTCAGGTCAGGTCATTGACCTTTGGTGACCTCGGGTGACCTCGGTTCACTTTTTAAAGTTTTACATGTTTCTAGGCTAGTTTTTGGAGCTGAATTCGAATTTAGCAACCGTTTGAACATTTACGAAGTAGTTTTGGTGCCTTCGTAACATGTTACGAAGCTGTCCGAGGCGGTTGACACGTATTACGAATACCCGTCAAAACCCCTACCGGTTGACCTGACCTGACCTGACCCGACCTGGTCTAAATGCTTAAAGACATTATCTCTGATCAAAACTAACACGATATTCGTGATCAGCACCCCGGAAAACCACGTAGCAGCCACACTTTACGACTTTCTAACAGGTCCCGATTTTCCCGGTTTTCGGGTCATTGACCTGACCTGGAAGGTCACCCAATGACCTAGGACCTTAAAATTGGGTATCATCGGCTTCCTCTCGTGACGGGCAGCACGCTCGTTTTTTCCGCGAAGCTCTAGCTCGATCAGGGGCCAAACGCGAGGGGGGGTCGTACCCCCCCCCCCCCCTTGTGCCGTCGAAGGACTCAAAATGGCCTGTGCCGGCGAGGGTTAAGAATGGTTAGCTACATCTTCGCAGGTCGATGGGGAGGAGAAAATCGATCGATTCGAAGTCAGGCGTAAGTTAAGTCAGGTGTGTAAAATCGCGCTTAGCTGTAAGTATGTATAATGCGACCCAACTTCATCGGAACACGACAAATTTATCCTGCCAATAATAAAATATCTGTCTTCAACTACACAATAATTCTCGGCAAGAAGTGCCGGTGTCAAACAGCTGGAAAACGGTCCTAACTCCTAGCTCTGTGCATCGTCAAACATTCTCTGTTACTCTAGTTATGATCGATGATCCAATACCATGATACAATTTTCTAATGTGGTGCTACAGTGCTACTTTACTCACTCTTCATCGCCGGCCCGATCGTCATGCTCATAGAAGTTGCCCTTCTTTGGGATAAACTGAGGATTCTTGCGGTCCTCGTCATCGTCCAAACTTTTCTTTTCCTGTAAAAATGATAGGAGTTATCCATAACCTAAAAGGGCCATCACCATCTATACTTTGATCTAAGAAAAACATGAAATGTTTAGTCATTTCCTTATAGCCATTGGCACTGTTTGCATGCTCCTCAGTAACTTTCAGTTACTGCAATTCGCTGGTATGTTGTGCAATGTGCATCAGATGCTTTTGCATATATCATGTCAATATTCACTTCCATTCACTAACACAGTCAGTATTATATTTTATGATCATGAGAAGATAGCCTACAGTGATCACTGATCACCACATGACAATAGATTGCCAAATCATGATCATTCCAAGATCAATAGGCACCACTTGGGATCTGGGCAGATCTCTAGGCACCACTTAAGAAATTGAGAACATTTCAAAAATAGGTAGTGTACCAGAACTTTCAAAGGAAGCTATGCTCTTGTCAGAAAATTAAGGAAGGTGTCAGATTATTCCAAACTCATCTAATAGATCCTAGCCCCCAAGATGTTCCACTATCAGCATTAGATCAAAGACATCATTCAAAACATGGTTTTCACTGAGCAACAAATCCATAATTACAGACAATTGTTAACACTGGTTTCTGTGGACTATAGTTCTGAAAACAGGTAAATAATGTGGTTTGTAAGCAAACAGGTTTTGGAAATGCATAATAATAATGAGAAGATGAAATACAGGGCTAAGAAAGCCCCCCCCCCCCACAAAAAAAACTTTAAAATACAGAAGCTGGCTTTAAAAGGTTTCTGAACCAGAAACCATTAACATAATGATCCTCACCTCAGATTGAGCTGGGCCAGCCAGCTCCTCTAGACTTTGGGCAGAATCATATATTGAGTGTCTCCCCTCCTCATCTGAATCCTGTAACACAAGCCAGACAAGGGTAACACAACATGTCAAAATTATGCATACACTACAAACCAGCATGTATGTATGTATGTATTGATCTAAAATCCATCCACATAACATGGTTTTTCAGGATTCAGCGTCATGCACAATACAGTAAAATGCAAGAAGGCAATAGGCACTGGCAGATAAAATAAGACAACTAACTGCACTAAAACCGGAATAAAACACAGCACCCCAAGATCTCAGGCTTCGCTGGCCGCCACTGCGCGGCGAAACGCGGTCAGCGTGGGCTGCTCCCTGACGGCCGGCGGCAGCCGGTTCCACGCGGCAGCAGCGCGGTAACTAAACGTTCTCTGTGTGGAAGAGAGCCTACACTTCTGCAGCTCCAGGGCGCCAGCTTCTACAGAGCGTGTGACCCGGCCAGACACCTCAGAGCGGGACACAAACATGCGGCGGATGGAGAGAGGGTAAGCTGGTATGTGGAGCGCCTTCCACACCTTCAGTAGGTCCCTCTCCCACACCAGCCGCTCCACTCTGGGCCAGCCCAGGGATGCCAGAGCCGGCCCGATCCTCTCCCGACGCCGCACGCCTGTCACGATCCGAGCACTGAAGTTGATGAGTTTTTGGATCCGAGTGAGTTGATTTTTTGTGGTTCCGCCCCACACCGAAATGCAGTACAGAATGTGAGGGAACACGTGGGTCTCAATGAGTAACTTTAGCGTTTCCTGGTCAAAATGGTGGCGGAACTTGGAGAGGGATATGAGGAGGGCATTGCACCTCCTGACGATGTGACTGATGTTGGCGTCCCAGGCCAAACACGAGTCGACAGTCACCCCCAACAATTTGATGGTTGGTGACGGTTTTAAGACTGACTCAGCTATGCAGATATGGAAGTTTTCGACCTTGCTGAGAGTCTGGCGGGTTCCGATGAGAATGAAGTCGGTCTTTTGAGGGTTCATTTTAAGAGAATTTGAGCTAAACCAGTGTTTCATGACATCCAAGGAGTTTTCGACACGTTGTTTTAGTGATGCTAAATTTTGAGGGTCAGGACGCGAGTGATCGAGCAGCTGGGCATCGTCAGCATATGCGATCATCCGACAGTCCGGTAGATGGCAGTGCAGGTCGTTCGTTAGCAGGCTGAAGAGGATCGGCCCGGCTATGGATCCCTGCGGAACCCCGCAGGGGACCGGCAGGACTGTTCTGCCGCCCCTGACCAGCTGCCCGCGGCCGCCAAGATAACTACCAAACCAGGTCGGGTCGATCCCGTACCACTCCAGCTTGCGCAGGAGGACGCCGTGGTCGACGCTGTCGAAGGCCTTGCTGAGGTCAGCTGCCGTGACTGAGGAGACCTCTCCCCGCTCTGAGTTCTGGCTGATCCATTCGACAGCGTCGAGCACGGCGTCCTCCGTGCTGTGACATGATCGGTAGGCGTACTGGTTGTAAAATAAAATGTTGTGGTCCGATAGGTACCGCGACAGTTGGTCACACACAACCTTTTCAACAACTTTTGACAAGTGAGATAAAAGTGAGATCGGTCTGTGGCTAGATGGTTCGTGTACATCACCGCGTGGCTTAAGGATCGGCACCACCTCGGCAGTTTTCCACGCCTCAGGGAAAACACCTTTGGTTAGGGACACATTCACAAGTCGCAGCAGGTGGGGGCCAATCACATCAAAACAGCGCTTCACCGCACCGAGTGGCACCCCGTCCAGCCCCACCGCCCCAGACGAGTGCTAGATATGCTAGATTTTTATTAGTTGCATGCAGTGTGCAACTAATAAAAATCTAGCATACCTATAAAAATATAAGCCACTAGGCACTAATCAACTCACTCCTAAAGCTACTGAAAGGTGAAAACACAAAATACTGAGCTGGTGCCTGTTGTGGACAAATCTGACAGGACACCGGTGAAATCAGGGCGCCTGGGGCAATTAGACCAAGGCTCTTGAAATTAAATCGCACAAACCACATGACAATTAATGTGTAAAAGGCATTGAGAGGGGGAGAACTTCTCAATAGTCGCCTCGCATCACACATGACCAAATATGCCCTCCGACACCCCGTTTTCACAGGCATCTATCAGATAGAGTGAACATAAATGTCAATTCACTGAATATATACAGACAAAAATGAAAAAAAAATAAATTACGATCAGCTTTAACACTTTTAACTTACTAATAAGTAGAATGGCGTTACTTGCCGCAAATCGCACGGCACATCAACATCCAAATAATCTATTTTCAGCATCTAATGATAGTTTTAATAGGAACCTTGGTTACTTGGTGGAGTGACAATTTAATATTTATTTCATATTTTTAACGAGGTACATCACAGCACGAATAATGCTAGCAATAACATAAAATATGAACCACTCCAGCTTGAGATTACCGTCAAAGATTTCCTGCGGCCACCATCAAGGGAAACGTCCGATCCAGACACATCATCCGATCCTATGGTGTCCGTATTCCGCTTGCGTCGTCTTTCTGCCATTTTGATTCTAAAATCTACTCAAGAAACACTTCTTTGTGGGTTAGGGTACTCAAGAAACACGTAAAACCAATAATACACACACTTCTCGTAAACCAAAACAGGCGTGGCCCAAGCGTGGCCGAGAAAAACGAGAGCGCCGCCGCTCCCAAAAAGTAGCCGCTTTCTTTGCGGCGTTTATGGCGAGGAAGCATGCTGACTGCAAGGCCCTATATACCGCTGACTGCGGAAAAGTGGTTGGCGATAATCCGTCGTAAGCTTACACTTCCTTGAGCATCTTGATCAGCTGACTAGCCCGGTTTTTCACGAGTGGTCTCGGATATCTCGAAAATGTATAAAATATTTTTAGATGTTTTTCACAGTATTCAAGTAAATTTGTTCAAACTTCAAAATTCATGAATCAAGTTTGTTTCAAAAAACCATAAGACGCTAGATATTATTTTATTTTGTAAGCATAGCTTGTAAAATCATCAATCAGCTGTACGCACCGTACGCACAAGCCACTCATCTGAATATCTGTGGGCGTTGCTAAAAATGTCCTCCCAAATTCTTTGGATGTTTGTTTGAATGGTGGGAGCCTAGGGGCAAAGGCAATCAAGAAGGCAATAAATTTGGCAATAAATACCATGTGCGGTGGTTGTGTAAATTATGACAAATGCTAATTGCTGGTATCATTTGGCCAAGTATCAGTATCAATGAATTGCTCCCATTGCAAAGTCCATTCGAAGTTATGAAAGGTTTGAGCCGAGGTATGTGTTTGAATGGGATCCTTGTTTACAATAATCACTTAAACTTGTTGCCTTTATTGAAATGGTACCTATTGAGTATTGAGCCAAGCATTTACTTCCAGCCGGATGATTTGTTGTTTTGCAAAGGTTTGTTTTAAGAATAATTTTAAATCTTTAGAAAATGCTGAGGCTAGAGTATTTTTGGCAAAGGCAAAATTATCTGCATTCCATCCAATCTGTTAAGACATAGGTACCAGATTGAGACATCTAATATCAAGCTGACATGTCTTGCTCCCTCACTCTGCAGGTGGCAGTGAAGTGCCCCACAGGAGCTCCAGTGCCATGCCGTCACCAGCTGCACCGGAAAATGGTCCCGCACCAACACCATCACGAGCAGTGTACGGCTTTCTGCTATTTGTGGCCAGTATACTTGCTGCTCTTGTGTACCTGAGCTGGGCACTGGTGCCACCCAGTTGGCTGCTCTCTCTGGGTCTCGACTACTGGCCACAGCAGCTGTGGGCATTGACAGTGCCCACCACCATTGTGGTGGCCCTGTTTCTCTTTGTGCTGGTCATCTACCCTTTGCTTGGTCTGGTAGGCGCTCCCAGTCTGCATGACCCGCGAGTGTATGAAGACGAGTTCAGTGTGACTGCGGCACCGGCCGCCCCCGGCGGTATCCCTCCCGTCTGTGACATCTCGCTAAGTGAGGTGTGTCGCCACCTCTACCTCGACGGGCCAGAGACTACGGTCGTCGGCCGGGACGAGTGGCCTCCTCCCCCACCAGACTTCCCTCCGGCATCACTACAGCACAGAGCGCGCAGGAGACAGAGCGAGCGCCCCTGGGACGCAGACAGTGACCTGAACCCTATCCCGCGACTGCGCAGCCGCAGCGAACGGGACGCCCGGCAGGCGGAGCGCGGTAACGGCGACGTGCGGTGGCGCATCCGCGGCGAGCTGTGGCGCGCGCGGCGCCGGCGTCTGGATGACAGCGGTGACGGACTGTCAGCAGAGGATGACAGCTGACACAACTCACGTGCTAACTGCTTAGCGAAGGGGCTGCCTCAGCAGAGTCCCACAGTGGCAACTGGCACTCATGCATGTTCGAAGAACATGACGGTTTGCCGTCCGAACCGTGCACCGGCTCAACGTTTTGTGATGATGGCGGACCAAGCGAGCGAGACACTGAGCGTTGTCATCGCAAATGTGATATTTTTTTGTGATCAAAGGCCGTTTAGTATGGTGACATCGAGGCGCAACTGTGCACCGCTGCTCGAAATTTATACACGGAAGTTAACTTGATTGATGAGCCATGTTGAGGCTCATCTAAATCTATGAGCCGCCGAGAGGTTCTCAGGATTTGTTGCACCGCTTGCCATTTCATTTTTATCTGTTGTGAACCGTTCACTGTATTGGTATTAGCTCCCGTTGTTCAGAGGAGGATGCCATTGATGCTCATTGCGAACGCAGTTACCGTACTTACTAGTCATCTCATTCCTTGTTATTTAGTATGATCGGTCAAATGTTGCTCACTCAACCAGCGATAAGGTATTTGTAAGCCGTTCGCGACGTCGTGCCATGTTTTAAATTGAAATGTCTGCATTTGGCCGCGTGGTTATGCCGTTGCTTCGCTATCACCCAAGCATTACCAGAAATAACGGAATAACTGAATGCAAATGAAATGCCTTTTTCTTCAATTAACAACACCTATCAACTACCCCACAATGCGGGTTCCGTCGCCACATCTATGTATTGTTCCATATCAAAAAAGGAATAGCAATTCATCTGCGATAACCCGGTTCCTGAACAATAACATTACCGTCTCGTTCCGCATTAAATACCTCCCGCCGCACTATTCCGTCACCTCCGGTCGCGGAACACCGGTCGTCTTTGGTGCGCGCTGGTGCACCCGGGCGCCCATCAGCTGTCGCCTCCGGCCTTGGTGGTCTCCTGCTGCTCGAAGCGCGGGTACTTGGCTTCCACCTCGGCCCAGGTGGTTAGGCCACGCGAGAGATTCGACACCAGCGGAGCGACGTCCGAGAGCTGTCGAAGGGAGAGAAGGAACGTCACTTCTGGTAGTTGGAGCGCAAAATGGCGAGGTGACAAGGAGAAAGGACGCACAACAGTGCGCGTGCGTGAAACTGTCGTCTCATACAGACTCCTCGTGAGAGCCTAGTAGGATGGTGTTTGATTGATGCAAGCTCTGGTCTTCTCAAAATACGTCTTATGCAATTGAGTTATTTCTCTAACAAACACATCTCGAACCCCAGCATCTTCTTTAGCCTCGCATTACCGTCTTCCCCTTAATTTCCACCATCCTTTTCCACTCTTAAACACCTCTCCTCCCCCCCCCCCCACCACCACCTCTCCCTCCCCGCTACTCACCGGCAGTCGGACCTGGCCGCGCGAGTCGCGCTCGCGCAGTGTCACCGTGTGCGGCTCCTTCAGCGTGTCGAAGTCGACGGTCACGCCGAACGGGATGGCGATCTCGTCGGTTCGCGCGTACCGTTTACCGATGCTGCCGCTGGCACTGTCCACCTTGCACGAGACGCCGGCGGTCGTCAGCTCACGGGCTGCAGGGAGATGAGATTGTCAGTGGGGAACGCACAGCAGCTTACATGCAATAATAGTTCAGCGGCCGGAGGAACAGTCAGAGAGAAGCCCGCATAGGCAGGCGTGTTCAGCTGTACGCAGGTGAAGAGTGTGGGAGTGTTGCTAGGATAATGAAATGGCATGTCGTTATCAGACGGGTAGCTACTGAGCGGAAGTAACAACATTTCAAAAGTGCCTTCAGTAATTGACCGATGACGCTTAAAAAGGCGGTATTCTTGACATACAACATGATGCAACACTCACCTGCTAATCCATTTACCGCCAGGAAAGGTGTGCCCGTATGCCCCGCACGCCTCAAACAGCCTTAAGTGACAGCCAGCGGCCCAGTCCGTACCAGCGCTATACACTAGCAGCACATATACCTAGCTGCTGACCAGAAACCAGCGTTACTTACACAGCTGCGTCACGAATGGCTCAAACTCGGAGTTTCCGCTGAGAGGCAGGACGGAGCACTTGAGTGGCGCCACGACCGGTGGCAGCGAGAAGAACTGCCGGCGAACAGACGGGGTTGAACACAACTGACATATAGTGGATTAGCGATGGTGAATGTCGCGCTAAATGATTGCCACAATGTGAGCACAATGCGACCCGTACTGAGGTCATGACGATCGACAAAACATCGTCGTCCGAAGAGCACGCTAGCTCAAATATGTATCTTTTCTCTCCACACAGCATGTCACGTAATCTCATACCAATGTAATATGTATCTACTACCAGCTTACCCAGCTCAATAGTCCGTCAGCCATACTCTATAGTCATATCAACCCAGCCGCCAGTCCCCTCCCCATCCCTCGCCATCACTCACGGTTCGCTGGTCGTCATCCTCTCGGACGCGGAAGCTGTGCTCCAGGAGGGCGTACATGACACGACCAACACCGAACGAGGGCTCGATCACACTGGGCACCACCTCCTCCACGTGCACCGTCTTCTGGTGCCGCTTCACCGACACCACGTCCTTGGAGATGGCGAACGAGCTGCCGTCCGCCGCCGTCAGCTGGTAGGTGCTGGGGGAGGGAAGGGCAGAGCCGTCAGTCGGCTGCAGGTAAAAGGGAGGCTGGCTGCTGACACTACATAACTAGTACATACTTACGGCCAAATTCCAACAAGCGGTGTGAGAACACTCCGGTGCGGAATAAAGGTATAAAAATTAGGTTTCCATCTTTCGAATCACGGTGTCATTTATATTTTGTTTTCCGTTATACATACGCTTTACGCTTACAAGTGAATGATACGGAAGCAACCTACCAAAGCGGATTAGATGTAAAATAAATTTCATTTAACGAGCAGAGAAACTTGAAATAAATTTAGCTAACCCAAAAGGGATAAAATCGCCCTTCGTCACGTACCCGGCCTCGTTCAGCTTGTTCTCCATCTCCGTGAGCTGCTCGGGTGACAGGGCCGTCAGCGCGTCCGTCACCTTCTTGGCGTCCTTCTTGAACTGCTTCCCCAGCACACCCTTCACTATCACAGGCTCTGCGGGAGCAGACGAAAGTTACTGACGAACAACAAAGCAAAACATCGTGCATGTATACTATCCTACACACATGCAATAACGTGATGTCTCATTGGATCCGTTTTGCTATGTGTAAATTTACCAACATAAGAATCAATCTTGCCCCAATACCTCAGGTCGAGTTGTCCATTCCGTCTCTCCTCTTTCCCTTTCTCTCATCCCTTTCCCACTCACCGACAACATCAACGGTTTTGGGGGCGGGCAGTTTCTTTTCTGCCACCAGTTTGACGCCGGTGGCCTTGGTGTGCTGGGTGAGGTCGTACGCCGACCGGTCGGCGCATCCGACGCACTCCACCCAGC